GAAGAGCCAGTGCTGGAAGTAAAGGAGACTTGTGGAGAAAATACAGTGAGGCATGGGAGGGGGCTGCTGTAAGGAGAGGCAATCAGGCAAAATTGCCTCTCCTTTCCCTTTTGTGGAAGAAAAGATTGATGAACTTTCTCTGCCAACAGATGAAGGGGGGGATTTAGCCTGATCCTGTTCTTCTTCTTATAGTTTTGCCCACAAGACCGCCCTTAACACAACCCCCCCAGCATTAGCTTTTAGGGATTTAGTGGGCTGGTATGAGATGTCAGAGAAAGATCTACCTCCCCAAGGGCCTTCTTCTCAGTGGTCACAGGATCCAACCCACTAGCAGGAGGAGAACAGGATCATCTTGAACCTATGGGAATCTTCCATATGTGGACGTTACACCAACTGTGGACTTGATCATCCCTACAGTATTGTAATAAATAGATTTTTGTATTTGCAGTTTTTTCAGCTTTCATTCTATCAGATTCCATACAAACCAAGCACGCAGTGTGTTTTGAGGGTAGTTTATGAATTTCCTTAAGATTTAAAAGATACAAACTGAAAATAAAGTTCTGAACAGAAGCTGAGGCTAGTCTTATATTAAGACTGGCATGTTTCAGCAGAAGGAGAATATGGATATATAAGTGAAAAGTCTGAAATCCAGAGTAACATGTTTACTCACAGCATACCCTGTAATGTCAGGTTCCATCAATAAAAATAGGTATTTGAATTAAGACACTACATATTTTACACATTGAATGTGTCATACAAATGCTAACAATGACAAAAGTCTATAATTTAGTGACTTTTTGGAAATATCATGTTTGGACAGCTACAATTATACTGGATTGCTCAGTTACTTCAAAAATCAAATGTATGGTGTCTGAGACAGCTTACTGCCTTGTGTGCCACTGGGGGAACAGTTCTTTGTCAAATGATTGCCCCTCCCCTTCTTCCTGGTGTTCTTTTTCAAATAGCATGCCTGGAACCAGGGAGGTCTAATGTGGTACAGAGAACCACTACCAGCATTAAAAGTTATAAAGCATTTATTAAAAAGAAAATGTCCACAAACATGCTCTCCACACAGCCACAAACTGAGCAAGCAATCCAAAAAAGTGGAGTAAAATGCAGTTCCCCTGTTCCTCCCTCTTCAGTTTAAAGGGTTACAGTTATTCTAAAAGGTTCCTATTACCTTGAAGCTTCTGCTCCTATGAGCAGTCTAGCACATGGAAATGGCCACCTTCAGGAGTCCTCAGGTAAGAGCTCTGCCTTGATGGAATCAGGACAAAAGAGACCTTCCTCTTCATGCCCACGAGTTTACCTCCTTTTCTCCTCCCACTGGCCAAGTCAAAAAAGCTTTTCCTGACATCTCCAGGAAGTTTTTCCTGAAGTCTTTCTAGCATCTTAAGTCATCAAAATCTCTGTCAGACCAAGTGTGATCCATTGGAGAAGGAAATGGCAACCCACTCCAGTATTTTTGCCAAGAAAACCCCATGGACAGTATCAAAAGGCTAAAAGATATGACACCAGAAGATGAGCCCCTCAGGTCGGAAGGTGTCCAATATGCTACTGGGGAAGAGCAGAGGGCAAGTACAAGTAACCCCAGAAAGAGTGAAGCAGCTGGGCCAGAGCCAAAAGGACGCTCAGTTGTGGATGTGTCTGGTGGTGAAAGGAAAGTCCGATGCTGCAAAGAACCAGGCCTCGGATGGGGCCGGAGCGCCCTGGAGTGGCGCTCCAGGAGTGAGGCATCCAGGGGTGGGCACAAGACGAAGCCCCGCCCCTGCTTCCAGCTCTGCCTCCAGCCGGCCTCATTCCAGCCCAGGAGGAGGAGGAAGACGAAGGGTAAGTTGGCTTCCTCCCCTTCCCTGACTGCCTGCGCAGCCCAGGCAAGGCTTCCTGCCCCATCCTCCATCTTCCTGGGTCGGCGGGGAGCCATGCACCCCGGGAATTACCTCTTGTCCTCGGTTTCAGCTGCCACGTACCCGGTGTCCTCGGGCTGCGTGGAGTGGCCCAGGCAAGGTCTCCTGCCCCGTCCTCCATCTTCCCGGGGCGGCGGGGAGCTGTGTGCCCTGGGAATTACCTCCCCGCTCCATCCTTGGCTTCAGCTGCCACGTGCCTGGTGTCCTTGGGCTGTGTGGAGTGGCTTAGGCAAGGTCTCCCGCCCCGTCCTCCATCTTCCCGAGGCGGTGGGGAGCCGCAGCCCCAATAATTACCTCCCTGTCCCATCCTCGGCTTCAGTTGCCACGTGCCCAGCATCCTCGAGCTGCGTGGACCAGCCTAGGCAAGGTCTCCTGCCCCGTCCTCGATGTTCCTGGGGCGGCGGGGAGCCGTGCCCCCCCGGGAATTACCGCCCCGTCCTCGGCTTCAGCTGCCGTGTCCCTGGCATCCTCAGTCCACGTGGAGCAGCCCAGGCAAGGCCTCCCACCCCGTCCCCCATCTTCCCGCCCCTGCCTGCCTCAGCCGCCCCGCCACTGTTTGCTAAGGATCTTTTTGGACTTTGTTTGTGTGTGTGCATGCGTGCGCGCGCACACGCGCTTTCATTGGTGGGTCTGCCCTTTCTCGGTTCTTTGATTTGCCCCCTGCAGAGTTTGTGTGGGGAGAGCCAAGCCAGGCAAGACGTGAGGCTTTGTGTGCTGCTGGGAATCGGGAAAGTGAGAGGGGTTTTTTTTCCCATCATGATGGTAGCAGTAGTAGAGCTTCTGGGAGCAGCAGCTGTGGGTTTACCTTCAAAAGTTTGTGTGGATGCCAACTTCTTTGTTTCTTTGGAGAGGGAAGGAAAACAGCCCTGTCAAGTATGCCTTTTTGCCCCCCCCTTCCCAGCCCTCAAAATATAACCAAATAAAAAGCCCTTGTTGCCGGTGTGGGGTTCCTCCAGGCGCCCCGGCCCTTTTTGTGTCCAAAGCCAAGCGAAAACAAAAACAAAAAACTTGCCACAGTTTCCCCCTTAGAAGCCGCAGCTTCCCAGCTGGGCAGGAAAGAGGCGGTGGGGGACTGGAGCTCCCGAGCGACTCTTGTGAGCGCGGGGCAGGGCTTGGCTTTTTCACCCCTCTGACCTCCGGTGCGAAGCTCTCAGAGCAGCCCACCTCTTAGTATGGGGAAGGGTGGGCAAGCCCGAAGTTCCAGGAGCTTGCAGGGAGAAGCCGCAGCGCAATGGAGAGAAGTCCTATCCCTGTGCTCACTGTAGAGGCCGTCGCTCTGTAGGTTAATTGGCTGTGGTAAGGGTGCAAATCGTTTGAGGTTACTCTGAGAAGGGGGAAAGCGCCCAGCAGGATCTAGCATTTCAGCAAATCTAGACGTCCCGTTCCCCCCCCCCCCCACTGTCCTTAAAAAGTTCGGGGGTGATGGTGATTGTAGCCTTTCTCTTTTTTTAAACATTCCCTTCCCTCCAGTAGTTATTCAGTCTGGCGAGCTTAAGTAGTTTTGTGTTTGCTTCGAATCGGTGCAGTTGTGTTCTTAGCCAGTGAGTTTGGCAAACAAAGGGTGTTTGAAAGGTGGACAGGGATTTCCCAGTTGAAAAGATTTGTTCTCACTTCCTGAGTGTTTCTGAGTCAGGCTTATTTCCTGTGACATTCTTATTTATATCCAAACTAGTCGTTAACTATTTTCTACTAAGGGGTAGCCCTGTTAGCCTACTGCAGCAAAACAAAGCAGGAGTATAAACCTTTGTGGACTAGAACCCAGTTCTTTATATCTCTGAAATCATTCTTGATTTAATGGTGTGTTTTTTAATCTTGACCTTCTTCCAAGGAGTTTAGGAACCACACGTTTCTCCTCTCCTTCGTTTTATCCTCACAACAACCCTGTGAGGCAGGTGGCTGAGAGGTTGTGGTTAGGCCAAGGTCACCCAATACACTTTTTTTTGGCTGAGCTGGTATTTGAACCAGTGTGCTAGCTCATTTTATGTGTACATGCAATTTTTGTTAACTCTAAACTTATCCCTGGTGTGTCCTATGTCATACCCTTATCCCACCCACCCATCAAGTACCATCAGTCGTGCACGTTATTGACCTAATATATTTTTGTATCACATTCTTAATAACACTTCTCAGTGTGATTTCCAAACATCATAGCTCTTAAAATGGAAAAAATACAATAAAACAAAGCTCAAAAGTCCAAAAGTCAGATTAAACCAATTACAGTGGTAATAATATATTTAAAAATAATTGACAGCAATAATTGGAATTAAGTTAAACAACTGTATTTGCCCATACCTATTACTTCCCACCTCATGGATAGGTAACCCTTTTGATAACCAGCCTACGGCATATCTGTCACTCTGTGGCTTACTTGAATTCCCAAACAAAGTTATTTTATGTTAATATGACAGAGAGCAGGTGTGACAGTGGGCAAAACAACATGTCAAGCACAAGCAGTATGAACAAGCTGCTCCTTTGGGAATGCTGGTTGGCATAATCTGCTAAATATTTTGATGTATATATTTCTCAACACAAAGTTCCAAGGTAGAAATTTTAGAAG